CGGGCCGGGCTCGCCGCGTCCGTTTCCCAGGGCGACCGGGAGGCTGGCTGCGCTGTGCCGGGCGCGCCCGGCTCCGGACCCCGGCGTTCCGCGATCCCGGTCGCACGCCCTCGGTGAGGCCGGCTGCTTCCAGGGCTGGCGGGCACAATAGCTCTGAGGCTGCAGTGACCCCTGGTGGGTCCAGGCGTCCGTGCACAGGCAGCGAGGCTGCGCCGAGGCCGGGCCCCGCTGGCCTTCGGAGCAGGTGCAGTCTGCTCTCAGCTGGGAGCAGCGTGGAGTTAATGCGAGTCAGGGCTGGAGGAGACACGGGAGCCCGGGCGCGGCGATGGTAGCCTGCTGGAAAAGACCAGGAGCTTTGGCGTCGGACATGGTGTTGCGTTTCGGACTCCTCCACGTGTCAGCTGGGTAGCCAGCTCAACAAATGTGCGCAAAATCTAAGACGCTAGCGCTTAAAAAGGCGAAAGCAAAAAGCTGGCCCCCACAGCACAGTGGAAATGAGACGAACAGTTCGCAGCTCGGCTGGAGCTTCCCTCCCGAGGACTTGCCGGGCCTCGGAGGGCCGCCGGCCTTCCCGCCCTGCGGAGGTCTGCACAGCGCGCCCGCACCGCCTCCGCGTGCCGCCGGCAGGGAGCGCCTGTGTGAGAGGAACTTTACCTGGAGCTGTGAGTGAAAGCCTCTGTACCTTCCAAACTGGCTGTTAAATTAAAGCAGCTTTTGAGCTTTTAAGAAAATTCTCTGTTCAACTCTGTTTTATTGTCAAAGTTATGCTGGACTTAGGAGCTGACACCTTGTTATTCTGAATCTCAGCGGCTCCGTTTGGAGAGGCTTTTCTGCAATATAATACTCTTGGTACTAATTAATACCAAATGTGGTTGAAAGCCTGACAGATTTTGGTTCTCTACCACAGTATCCAGCAAAGCCACGGAGGCAGCAAGACAGAAGACCCCGGAGTAATCACCTCTTTGAGGTTTGCTGCCCAAACTTGGTTACTCGGTTTTCATGGAAGGCTGGACATGTGGGTGGGGCGGGAAGCCTTGAGGTCTGGCCACAGGCCTTTCTTTTGTGTTTGTCTTTTGTTTTTATCGTTTGTTTGTTTTCATGGAGAGGGTTTTTTGCTATAGGGCGCCTGTACTTACTGGAAAGACAGACATCACCCCACTGCACCCCCACCCCCCAGGTTGGCCACGCAGCAGTCGCTCCTCCGTTGCCTGAGCGGGAGTTTCAGACCACAGCTCTGGCTTTTCCATTTCTCTATCAGAGATTGGAGAAAATTTACAATCCGCCACAAAATTTGCGCTTCCTAAAGGGGAGGATTCCATAGGTTAAAAAAAAAGCTTTGAGTAAAATTGGTATACAATACGCTGCAGATATTTAAAGTGTCCAGCTAGGGGCCATCAGGTGACTTGAAGGTGAAGGCACTGGGTCCCACATGGCCAGCTCCCTGGTTCAGGTCCTGGACCCAGCAGCTTGGAGATCACACCAGGTGTGTGTGTGCGTGCCCAAAATCCCAAGAGAAGAAAGGAGACAACTGTGGAGCAGCCCTCTCCCCCCACCCCGGGGGAGGCACTTTCTCCTTCTCGCTCGCTCTCTCTCGCTCGCTCTCTCTCGCTCACTCACTCTCTGTCGCTTGTGAGTGCACACACCCTACAGCAAAAACTGAAAAATTAATGGAGTTCACAATTTGCTGTTTTAACGTATGCTTACACCCATGAAACATGGCCACCTAGAGCTTCCTCTGCCTCAGCAGCCCCTCCGTCCCCCTCCTCACCTATCCCACCTCCCGGGTGGCCACAGATGTTCTCCCTGCAGCTGGAGTGCCCATATTTCCTAGACTTTACATCAATGGAATCAGTGTCCACTCTTATTTTTTTAGTCAGTTTTGTTT